GTTGTTCGCTCAAACGGTTCTCTCAGACTATAGATATACGATTATACCTTACGACATTCACCTTTAGCCCAAAAAAGGAAGAGCACCAGTCGTTTTCAGAATTCTCAAAATGAAATGAGTTGGGTGGAGGAACGAAAGCCGCCAGCTTCGGTCGCCTGCGCGGACTGCTGGTCCTGGAACGACATGCAACAACGTTGCGAAAGGACCAGTTGGCAGCAAAAGGCGGCTCAAACTGGCGGCTTTCGTTCCACTACCCAAATGAGTTAGATTATATCTTCTTTTGAACCTCAAGCATCCATTTTGTCTTCCATTCGCGCGATGATACTTTGAGAAATCTCAGAAATTACTGAAACAGAGTTTCAGACTTGAAAAGGAAATCTGGAAGCAGGCACGGAATGAGCTAAGAGAGAAGCAAGAAGAGTATAAATCAAGGACTAGGCCGCTTAGGGTTGTTTCAACTGCAGTCGCTGCAGCTACTGCAGTCATATGGGGGCGAGCAAAAGATATCGATCGATTGACTGCCGTTGCTGCAGCGACAGTATGAAACAACTCTTAGCGCGGCATGGTCCCTGCACGCTGCAGCACGGTAGCGCTCGCGCGCAGGTGTGACTGCGCTACGCGGTGCTGGCCCCGTTAGACGCATTGTATGTCATGCCCAAACAACACTTCTATATATCAGAAGGTGCATCTCGTCAAGCTGAATTGAATGTTGCTTCTGGATTCAAATTTCGTCTACTTCTTGACGGTGCGAAGCGAAGTTTCGCGAACTCCGGCGGATTGCGGTCATTCTTATACAAGTTACGAACGGTATTGTATCGAGCATTCCAAACAAAGTGTTGAGCCATATACGTAATCAGCATGCTCAATCACCCTGTGCCAACTCCCAGCCTCGTAGCTCTTTAACTTTTCAAAAAATAGACGAAATCGACACCCATCGATAACGAAAAGTAGCCCACGACACCCGTCCAGCCCCGAATTGTACGTGTGCAACATTTGGTCCGGATCGGTATGTACATAAGATCTGAATCTTCAGTACCTATGCTAATCATCTATCATGTATTGAAAAATATCTTTTCAGAGGTATACACCACAATCAGCAAGGTAATCTGAAAGTTGCAAAACACGAATTCTCCCTTAACTGGCTCATATTTTTCAAAATATTTCGTATCTGCACTGTCTTCAGTGGAACTAAAATTCTGTTCGAAAGTGAATGAGGTTACAGATTTTATTGGAACTGTCTTGCTTGGATCTTGAAAAAATGTGCTACAGTGCACCTAAAGGTAAATGAATCTCTTGATATGCACGTGACCTAATGGCTTGCGCGTTCCTTACAGTTGATGCAGATGGATTTTGGAAGTTTCGCGACCCATTTGGAGGAGGGTGGCGCGGCGGGGGAGGGGAAGGCCGGGAGGTTGTGCACCTTATCTGTGAAATTATCTTCAAAATCACAGGATTTGATTCCTACTGCTAATATACGTATTTTCATTCATTTGCAATCGCATAGCCATGGATAAATCTTCTGTATAAATTTGAATGATATCAAGCTCCAGGGGAAGTATCGTACAAATATTGTGCTCTTATACAAAAAGAGGTTTCTGGACACGTCTCAACCCGTATAGACGCGGATGTCAAAGTTCGCGATACATGGAGCTAAAACGGTATCGGGTTTCTTGAGAACCTGCAGACGAGACAGATATAGGCGCCGTAAAACCTAATTGCCCGCGCCGTGCCTTGGACACCAGCGTAAGCGAGCGGTCGTCGCGAACGACTGTCGGCGTTCACTATATTCCAAGAAATTTTTCTTCAACTTTCATATTGTTCTCGTCAATGCAAGGTATCTCTTGACGAAAGCTCCCTTCAAAAGTTCAAAAAAATATATGCGGAAGTGCGCGCTAATTGTCGCTCGCAAATACCTGTAGCGCTTCGGGACCAACCGTTTCCAGCCGCGCCGCGCGTTGGTGTTCAAAGCGACGGGTGGCCAACTGGATTTTACGAAGCCTGCACGTCAGCAGCGCGAGCTGGAGCGTACCAAAAACGCCCAATTGTGTAAACTTTGTGTCCACTCTCACAAGTATAGCCTTGAGGGCGGGCAGGCCCGATCTCGAGAGATCGGGCTCTGCTGCCCGTTCAGGCCGTGCACCCCAAACTTTCTTAAATCACGGGATGGACGCTCTCGCCTGTCCAGGCACTCGCTTATAATGGTAAAACAATGACCGAACAGCGAGCGGAAGAATGGTAAATATTGACCCAGATTATTTAGCGCGTGACTACAACGCTTACAACAATTGCATCAAAAGCTAGTAAAGGTCAATCTCTCCGGCCAATGTTTTTGTGCTGAAATGAGCGGGCGATGATAGCAAACATCTCTTAGCCTGACATATCACGACTGTAAGAAGAAGTCCATAGTGTTGTCGTTTCGTAGATTCTCCATTAAATGTCACGTATGCACTCACTGACAGACAGTTCGCGTTGTGATTATCATGGGTCTTCCAAAAAACGGCTAGCTCGTTTAAGGGTATCGTGGGCTGATATAGGGAGCAGATTCGAAAACAGCCACATCGCAGTCGTTTTTTGATTTTGTTTCTGCTGTGATAGAGTGCAATTTCGGATTAACTGTCACTGTTACAGTTAGGGTCCCGCGCTTTCGTGGAGAGCATATTGGAAAATTGTTGGTTTTGCAGAGAATGGAATTGGTAGGGTACTGCTGAGCATTAGCGACGTCTCCAGAAGATGAGGAGTAGATCATGAGGCGGGAGGGGCGAATGGGCGGGGAGGGGGGGGGGGGGGGGGAGAAAAGAAGAAACTTGTGTGGGAATATAGTTGGGATGTGTTTTATCTGTAAGAGGAAGGCTACGAAAATTTGTCAGGTTGATGGGCGTGGTTCGAGGAATAGGGCGACTCCTCGAAGTTTTTTAATGGTTCGGTTTGTATACAAATTGCCTCCTAGATGGAACTACGTGCTCAGAAGGTTATTCAAACATTTTCTAACCGCCTTCAAGACTCCGGTTTTGCATGAAGCAAATGGCCATCTTTTTATATACTCGTGGTTCCGTCCTGCTCCGAAAACTACCTGTGTCGAGCCTTGGCATTTAATATAACAGTTCCTTTTGATCTTGTTTGAAGAACTCACACGTGCCCTTCGGGTAGAGGATATTACATCGCTGAAAGGGGAGGTTCCACGAGGATATTTGGCAACAAACCGCGCCTTCACGGGTGGGGGAACGAAGGCTGCCACTTTGAGCCTCCTTTCAACTGTCAACTGGTCCTTTTGTAGTGTTGTGGCATGTCGTTCTAGAACCACTAATCCGCGGAAGCGGCCCAAACTTCCATTTCTTTCGTTCCCATTCACCGTTAGTGCCTCGTGCTATCTGTCCGTGTGAGTGGAGCCTTTTGGCAACTATTGTCCTCTACCCGTGCCCTTCTCGTTGATTGCAGCTTTCTTGGTGCGAAATTCCGTTGATGTTGAAAAATAAACGCATGAAGAAAAAGTTGGAATCTGTTCCCTTTACTCCCACTTCCTTCCTTGAATGATTTGATAGGAAGAAAGGTTTGGTCTTGGAACAGCGCTCAAATCTTATACTTACGTCAATGTCTTACTCGAAACTTTTTTTTTTCTACTAAATCAGTAGTGGCGCCGAAAACTCTAGGTCGTTGCATAGGTTCTGTTACACTTTCTTGGTCTCCCTCTGAAGAAATTTATAAAATCCTGCGAAGTCTCGTATGCATATATGAGGAAGGAACAAAAGCCTATCCATTTTTGCACCATTTTCGCCTTTGCAGACAAATTCTCGAACAGCACTCAACCTTCAATTTTTTCCGTGCTTTTTAAAATTCCCATTCTTCTTTTTCAGAATCCTGGATTTTTTATGGACTTCCGGGATTATGAGTAGTAAAATGAAGGAAGCGTGGAAGTTTAACTTCAATAAGAAGCTGGAAGCAAAAAATAATTCGGAAAATTTCGAAAAATTCATAAATTTGATTTTATATATGCAACATGTACAGGGTGTCCCAAATAAATGTGAACATTGTTTGATCGTAAATAACTGTCTTGTCATGAAGTCTTTTGAGAATGAGGCACCATTCTGTAGAGCGAGGTTCAACTTAGATTTACAGCATGGATCGAATCATCAATCGCTCTTCATTACTGCACGATTATGGTAGGAGCTTTGCGGAGGATTTTTGGAAATTAAGAGCGATTTTTCTCTCAAAAGGAAAAGTAAACAAGCCAAAAACTCTTGTACTGGACTAGTCGAAGTCGCTGATTCTGAATATGAAGTTTGCACTCCATTGTAGTGCTTCTTTTATAAGTTGTTTCAGGTTAAGGGTAAAATCTGTTTCTCCAATGTTCATCAGAAGTGCGATTACACTAAAAAAATAATCAAATTACCGATTACAAAAGCTCGAAAAACTGGTAGAAGGTTGTGTACTGAAGTCGGCACGCCCGAAAACCTCGCTACAGTAATTTTAGATTTTTGGAATTTTTTTCCATCAATCCTATTTCCACAGTGGCGTTGTATGCTGAAAGTTCATATAATAGCCCTACATTAATAAAGGATTGATGACTCGGTCCATACTGCGAGTCCAATTCAATCGCCCTAAAGAATGGTGCCTCAAGCTTCTCAGAAGACTTCATGAAAAGAGAGTTAGTAGATCAAACAGTGTTCACATTTTTGGGACACTCTGTATATATCAGTCCACAACCCTCCACAAGATCTGGAAATGAACAAAAATTCAAAGAATTTTTGAAAAATCTCTGTTGCGTGTAACAATGCATGAAAGGGGGAACTGTTTTTCGTTGAAGGGGAGGAACCTTCTTGTTTACTTCCAATTTCTCCGATCTCCGTTCTCCGTTAATCAATCAAACTGCTATGTACTTTTATGTACTTTTCATACTTGAGCTTTTCAAACTTTCAAACGAACTTTGATTCTCCCAGTACAACACATTCAAAACTCATTAAAAACTCCCTCATAAGTGCGTTGTTAATTTCTTTCCTTTTCAGTATGGCATGGGACCTCGTCAGCGTCAGCGGCCGACGGCGCATGCGGAATGAATGAATTCTCTGCATGATAATCTAGTGGCAACAACGGTATAGGTACTTGATTCTCTTACTAGAAAAATTCGAATATCCACCTCGGCATTCAAAGTTATGTTCCTTAAGTCGCAAACGTTCAGAGATTTGTGAGTGTCGCTTTTGTGTGATTCGTCTAAGCTCTCCCTGCTCATACGTACACCTCTGTTCTAGTTCATTTCCAGTAGTTGCAGTCAACTAGAGGTTTTTTGAGCAACTTTCATTTGTAATATCGATTCATTTCATCAGAATTGCCAGATCGCCAATTTATTCTGTACTTACCAACCTATTCTTCATTAAATGATAACCGATAAATATGTTTGTCGGTAAAGCATAATATGAGTGTCAACCTGTCAACAATCGAAGTGATGAAAAGAGCATTTGACTGGAAGTTTAATTCTGTACACTGACGGAATGGAAACAAGGTGAAAGAGTCTTAAAAAAGAAACAAGCTGATCCTTTTGCAAACCTTGGCAATTTGGTCGCTATTCACCCGTGAGTCCTGCGAAAAACGATATGAATGGCATTCGTAAGGGCACATTGTACAGCATGGATGCATACGCGTTAGGAGAAACTCAAAAGCAGCGAGAGGAACTTGTACGGAGGGATATGCGGTTCATAACTTTTTAAAAGCATCTCTTCTGTCTTCGGGGTTCCGACTAGATCTGTCTCCTGTACTTTGACAACACCCAGTGCATGGAGGTAGGAGGTGAGTCCCTGCTGGAATCACGAGTTGAACGAGCAAACTATCAAAACAACACCATTCATTTTTTACCCGTAGTTGACCAGAGCATGTGGTGATAGTATTCGTTCGACAAATGATTCCGCCGTTGAAAACAGTCAGTAACAGCTGTCCTTTCAAGACTACGCGATTCGTAAGCAGTTGGAGGTTGCAGGGAAGAGCAGCTTGGGCTTGAAGTGGGACGATCTTCTCTATAGTCTTTAAAATTCGCAATTTGCCATCTTTTTCAAGCGCACCTGAACTTGTAGTCAAAACGGGAGGATAGAGAACATTTTGAATGGCAACATGCCCAGCGGGGGTGTGGTATGTGTTATATACATCTGTCTAAAGTCCCTGTACTGATAAGTTGTCCTCTGCCATAATTCTAAGTTTAGCTTTACCGCCGTCTCAATGATTCCCTCCATAAGAATGGAAAATCGCATTTCAACGGGAAGAATATCAGTCGGTAGCGCGTCAGGGCCTGTTCCGAGTCCTTTGCCATCATCTTGATTCAACATGCGATCTGAACAGATCCCAATATTTCCAGTACCACTAGATCAGTCAAATCCAACCCAAAACAATGTCCATTCCGTGTATGGCTGGTTGGGGTGAAACCCCGTGGGGCAAGTTGCTGACTACAGTAATCCGCTTCAGATTGCATTCTAGTATAGCTGCACTTGGCATGGGGTAGAAATTTGCAGCGTCACCGAGTTTTTCGTGGCGCTGTCGCCGCAAAAGCTAGAAAATGTTGTTTTACTTTGAAAAGCGTATTTTAGAACACCTGTTTTACCTGCATACCAGCGCTATCTGTGTAAAATCTTTCACCGCGCAAGTTTGTCTCCAACCTCAGCAGAAGTTCGGTGTTCTTGGTTTCTGTTATGTCCACTCGTAGAGAGAAATGCACTTGCTTGCTGAGGGAACCTAAAGAAGCGAGTCGACAAAGGTGCTATTGAAAATCGAGTTCCTACCTCTGACGTTTTTTACGATCATCCTCTGGTAAATACTGGTAAAGAAGAGGTGAGCGGATTCCTGGATAGGACCTTTGCTGATGAATCGTGAGCTAGAGCCGCTTGCTAATGGCTGAAATGCACCATTAAACTATGCACTTGCAAACATAACGTCCTCTTCCCGAATATTTTTGATTGTAAGGTCAAAATTCCAACAAAAAAAGTTTCTGAGACAAGGACCTTCTAAGATTCTTCTAAAACGTTAAATAAATCATTGAAAATAATATCTCCTAATGTAAACTCTCACATCATCAAGGCAAAGAGTTACTGATTCAATTGCTAACTTACCGTAGGCGGATCGCGAACCCTCATTAGATACGCCCCTCCGAAAGCATTCTCATATTTATAGAACTGTGTCGATACAGCAGTACGTCCAACTGCCGCCGTTGTGATATGCTAAAGTTAAAACCTTGGACGTGATCAAGAGAGATTTGGAAGAACTCAAGCCTACACTCAGTTGTCCTGTTTCGTTGTCATGAGAAGTTTTGAGCTCCTCGTTCTCGAGAAAGAAATCCTGCGAGGTGATGGGTTCTGGTTTGAATGTGCTGGAATATTTGTTCCCAGCGTTTATAATGCAGTACCGCTCATAATTCGTGAAAAAAAGTCATCGAACTCCACCATGGTTTTAATGCGCTGTATCGCCACTTCTTGATTTAGAGTTGAAAATTCCAAGTCCAAGGGGACCGTTCGGCTCAGCTTGGTGAGTGGCATTTTGTGATAAATAGAAGTGCTGGTTCGGATATAGGCGGTCAGAATTCATAGATTTTTGCCTGAAGGTAGGTTACTCAGTGTGCAGTGATTAAGCACGTTGGGCAACCCGTAAACAAATCTGAAACGTGTCTACCGTGCACTGTATCCATACGGGCATTTCTACATATCAGAAGCGCCACACTGAGCTGAGTCGCACGGCGCTTTCGGATTTAAAATCCACTCTGAACGATATGGCGACGCGCGACGCGGATTTCGGAACTCCGGTGGAATTCGCTGTCTTTTTTGACGCATTGTGAGCGGTAATATATAACGGTTTATAAAAACTGCGTTATCGAAAACATGTCATACTAGCTGGCTTACCCGGCTCCCCCGTATGTTCCAAATAGAAAATTCCATTTCTTAACCGATCCGGACCAAACTTGACACACATGCACTTTGGGCCCCGGCGGGTGTCACAGTCCACTTTTCGCTATCGATCGATGTCGATTTTATCGATTTTTTTGCAAAGTTTGAGCTAGGGGGCTGGAATTTGACAGGGGGTGTAATCGAGCATGCTGATCACCCCCCTTGGGAGTGATCAGCATGCTCGATTACCCCCCTGTGCCAACTCCCAGCCCCCTAGCTCAAACTTTGCAAAAAAATCGATAAAATCGATAAAAGTAATCGATAATCCTGAAAACCAATATTGTATTCGGAATTCCCATGCTCGATTACCCCCCTGTGCCAACTCCCAGCCCCGTATGTGAACTCAGCAAAAAAATCGATAAAAATCGATAAAATCGATATCGATCGATGACGAAAAGTAGCCTATGACACCCGCCGGGGCCCGAAGTGTATGCGTGTCAAGTTTGGTCCGGATCGGTTAAGAAATGGAATTTTCTATTCGGAACATACGTACAGACAGACATACAGACAGACAGACAGACATACATACATACAAACAGACATTCAGCTTTATATATAAGATGAAACTTAGACTGCTACAAACCTAGGAAAGAGGAGCAGCTCTTTGACATCCTCGTGTACCAACACGCTCGCTATGTTTGTCAATTTTGGTGAATCGCTTTTGGACAGAATGAAGGAGGATGTGGAAAGAGCCCGGAAACGACAGCGAAAAGCCAGCTAAAAAAAATTTTTGAAGGAGATTCCTTCCGAGAATACCGGACTAACAAGGAAAGAGTCTTTCGATACAGCTCCTTGATGAATATAGGGCTCAATTTGTGCCTTCACTTCGCCGGCATCAGTGCTGACAGCTACGTTTGCCGTGTCCACCCGGAGAGAAACGACGTCTTCGATATCGTATGGCAGTGAGTTGTATGCGTTGACCACGCTATAAGGATGAAAACCCTAAGAAAATGGCCCATTAACTCATTGTGGGTGACTAACATGCGTCCAAGTTCTTCGACTTTGAGCACTTCCAAAGATTCTGTTTCGCTGTTGCTGGTCGAGTATTCCAACTTAAGAGCTAAAGTTGGGATTCAAGTGCAAAGTGCTTCAGACGAAGCTTATCGTAAACATAATTTACGAACATCAGATGTACATTACCCCAACAATATGAAGGTATTGTACATGGATGTTCAATTCCTATGAAATGACTTTCTTACACTTCTATGCATGATCTTGAAAAGAGCTACTTATGAAAGCTATCAAATCATTTGCATTACCTCCAATTACCCTTTCAATTAAAAAACGAATGTACACATCCATATCATAAACATGTAAATGTAGGACTTGGCTGAACACTTTGCTTAGTCTATAAAAGCGTTTACTAACTGTTTTTCGAACAGTCGCGAGGAACAAAAAGCATAAAAATGCGCTCAAAACCTTCATCTGTAACATATGCATGTCTGCAGCCAACAGATCCTCGGGCGCGATGTACATTAGATGATGGGTGCACAACTCACCTATATCAAAAACATCTGAACTCATCTATACTTCTGCTTTTCTTATTTGTAATGCATTTGTTATGTTCTACAAAACTATGCAAATGTGCTCTCAATAAACCGGAGATTATCTGTGACTTCTGTTTTTTACTTACTCACTAAACAGAGATCAAAATAATTAACAGTTTGTTTGCGCATAAGATGATGCAAAAATATTTAGTTGCCTTGACTGAATTTTTATGCTGCGAGTTTCTCCAAATAAGTTCGTTTAAACTGACCGTATGCACTTTACCGCCGGAAAGAACAACGGAGGAGACTTCAAATGCCGATCGAGCTAGCCCAGTAGCGTTATGGAGAAGCAACGAGTAGTCCTGCATCACATGCTTTCTGCTCGTTCCTAGAGGAGAAAGCTTATCTATTTTCTCGGTTCCTGACTTTTAGCGCAGATTTAGTGCTCATGACCAACGATATGTTCATGAGGCCAAGTTCTGGTTGGAAGCCCGCGCGCTAGGAGGCTATCGGTGATCTAACTTCGCTTACTTCCAGATTTTTATCCTCTTATGATTCCGAAATTCTTACAAGTGGACTTAGAGGCAGCCACTTTCCAGAAGCATTTGGGAAGTCTGGTTTGATTTATGCGAGTTTCTTCAGAATAATTGATAATTGATAATTTACAATCAAAAATAGATCACTTGCACAAGTTTATAACATATTTAGGAAATTTTCATAAGTTTTGCGACCTATTCCTCGAGACTTCCCCCTCCCTCCCGCCTGGCTTCGTCCGCTACTGACATGAAAAGATAAGATTTTATCTGACACCTAAAAAAGTTCTCAAATGGGATGAACAGATCAAACCTGTGATCGCATCGTGATGTTGTAACAGACTGAGAATTCTGCGAGCGGCCTGCAGTTTGCTGGTGACTTCTGTCCTTGACAACTCGTCCATTCTGTGCCATGCTTGGGCAGTAATTAGATCAGCAGCGCGTACAACGTTCTAAATCGTTTGATCGCTTGATAAAGCATATATTCAAGAAGCTACACATACATGCAGTGCTCGTTCCTGTCTTTTGACAAAAGGTCGTGTGGTGAAGTATCCACTCCAGATGTCACCCAGAGCACACCTGAATTTATGGCTAAACGATAGACTATTTCACTGGCTGACGTACGATAATGCCATGTCAATGTATAAAAGCAAATCCAATTCTAATTTGCAACTGAGCTGCTTCTGCAACGGCAGTAGAACTGAATAAAAAGCTCAAGCGTTTTTGTTGCGATTGCGGATTTAGCTGCATCACAAGAAGTTTTCAGGGTTAAAAAACGGTAATGAGCTGTCGAGCTGTCTCTAAAAGCTCTGTCTTCATCCTCCCACAATCGGACGCCAATTTTTAGCTGTGACCTACTCCACGATGAAGGATCGCGCCTGATCCATGGGTTATCCCTGCACGAGAAGAATTGAGGATCTAGGTAGACCAAGACAAATTCACGATCTTGAACCACTCAGATGACATGAAGAATTTATGGTACTGTGACAGTGGAATTTTGGAAATGAGGGAGTGAACAGTTAGAAAGGGGGGGGGTCATAATGCAAGTGCATGTGTACAAGATTTGGTCCGATCGGTTTGATGGAATTTTTCATTCTGAGTAAAACACACGCACATATAGGGCTCGCAGTGTTGGGTGCATCAGCATCTTCGCTTCCGCGCGGGATTCTGCACCTCTTATGTGAACATACCCTCTAATCATTTGCAATCGATTGAGGCTTCGCCTTTCTCACACTCGCGATAGGAAAGTGATCAGAGCGCATGTTCGCGAAAGAGGAGCAGAGTGCAGGCGAAGCGGCCACGTGGGAGCGAAGAGCTGCTGTACCCGACACTGCATTTGATAAGACGAACTAATGTATATGTAACATGTACAGTGTACAGTATTTGTACATGTATACAGACACTCAGCTTTGTGTTCGAAGGCACAGCCCAAATCCAATTTGAGGTTTGTAAGATCTGATGCAGGACAATAGCTAAGACCCTGAACTAGTAACTGCTCAAGCCCACTGCAGAAGCATGAAGCAAAAGAATCGCTTCGGGAAGTGGACACTGCGGATCACCACCAGCTCATCAAATTGGGTGACCCAGAAGTAACCTTAAAAGTCCAAGATGTATTTTCCACGGTGAATGATGCTAAATCTTTAGCTAGTTTCGAGTTCATTATCTTTAGACCAAACACGTTGATGGGCATGCTGACCACAGCAGCTACCCTTTATGCAACGGGATTGGCGACTGGAAGGCGACGAAGTCTAGGTCTCTCTCGCGAGCGTGCTCTCTGATTATTCTCTAGCCTTGATTAGGCTTCGAGCATACCTTTGATAGTTTAGAGCAAGGGCCTCAAAAATGAAGGTGGTTTGATTATTAGCCTCTCATAAAAAGTGAAGGTTGTTCATGTACCAGAGAAGAAGAAAAGATGCAAAACATTTAGTAAAAGCAAAAGAATCTCTTGGAAATCGGATAGAAGCGCTGCAATAAGTTTAAAATCTTTCATTTGGCGGCATTGCAGGTTTTCGCTCCACGACCAAGTAATCCGCAACACGGAGGAAAAAGAAGAAAAACTAGTTTTTTCTTTGTGTTTATTCCGAAAACGACCATGTTTCGGGAGTAACGATTGTCAAGAGAAGAAGAACAAGAAAAGAATTAGTTTTGAAAACGCAGAGTTATGTTTTTACCAAGCTCAAATGCGCGACAAAAAGCCAACCTAGTTTTTGGTGCGTCCTTTGAGTTTTACCCCCGCATTAGGATTCCCGTTTTCTGAGACGTTGTATAAATTGTTGCTCTCATTATTTTGAGCAATACGCTTCCAAGCTGGAAAAAAATCGCTGCGAAAGCACTGAAACAAAACAACTTAGAGAAAAACGCACTTTTTACGATTTTTAACGAAAAACTCCGCCTCGAAGAAATAAGCACCGAGTTGTTGTCTGCATTACGAACAAAAGCAAGACCTACTCAGATAATCGCCGGGGGCAGGAGGTCCGCAAACTCGCGCTTTTCTGCAGGCGGTCGGCAGAATTTTGGGGCGTGACCAAACCTTCAGCGGGCGGCACTTCCTTCACCGTCGCATATTCTGCCAGCGGGCAGCAATACAGCATTTTTTCCAAGCGCTCGGCAAATAGTTTCTTTCAGCGAGCGCTGGCCAAACTTTCAGCAAGCGCTCAAACTCTTTTTACGCATTTTCGGGCGTACGTCGAGCACAGGTAAGACTCTGTGTAGCAGAGGTGTCACCGTTGGTTTAATTACTCAAGTTTGAGGTACATTCTCTCAGCGGAAAGTACCTGCGGGCTGCGCGGTCCTCCACAAAGGACCGTGCGGCCCCCGGAAATTCTGCATATTCTCGCGGAAAGCCCGCGAGAATGCGGCCACCGCCCCGCAGCTAATCTATAAGGAAACCGCGATTGTTCTCCAAGCATTCGTCTAAAATTTCGCTAAAATTATTCCAAATTTTTGCAAGCGGACCGCAAGAAATCAGCGAACTATCTTTTCGGGGCGCGCTTGCTCAAAATTCGCATGGCCGCCTGCCCCCGGCGATTATCTGAGTATAGAGTGCGCGAAAAAACCGCCTGAAAAGAGCTATAGGGGAAAACGGGAGGATTTCGAAAACAAGGTTTTGCGGGATTTCTCGTTCAAATCAAAAATATGATTTTAGGACGTTGTCAGCGTGAAAGCAAGATCGAGAGCTTCAATATGATCTATCGCTTGCTAGAATTGGTTTTGAAATGACGAAGAAAAGGGTACCAGGGCCAAATGCCCCGCGCCCCGCTTTTGGGGTAGCGAGGTAGCGCGCAAGGCGTGGAGACGCAGACAAGCAGCGGAGACAGACCAGAGTGGACGGGGCATTTGGCTCTGGTCGTAGATCTCCGCGGGGTCTCAACGAAACCCTGCAGCATTATACATCATTCCGATCGCCATGACACGACTAAGAACACCGACAACGTCCCATGCTCTGAAATCAGTCGTTAACGAGATAAACCAGATTTTCTTGGGTAATTCTTTGCGCAAGATTCAAGCGCTGCTTCTCGTTCTTATTGAACTTCGACAGCTTCCCTAAACTTGAAACGGAATTTTAGTCAAACAAGAGACTGAGAGAGAGAGAGATGTTGTCCTGAATCGGAGAACGTTCACAGAAACCTTCTATTTAGCGTAAAAAAAGGCTATAAAAATGCAAATTTTGTTTTTCGCTGAGATAATCCAAAGATATTATTCCCTATATTTGCTTCATTCACATTCATTCCGATATAGTCAGAATTATAACATCCGGGGCTAAGCCCCGGATAGGTTTCCGTTTTTTTTTTCAGGTGAGGGTTGTATTGCGTCATAGCGCTCAGAGTGAAGGTTACCAAAGTACATGGCTCTATGTCGAGAGTATTGCTTCGAGGCCCCGCCTTCTAGCAGCCAATCTCGTTGAATCAAAGAGTAGCACCTTATCTACACTTTGGAGTTCACCATTGCTGCGACTTGGACAATTACCAAGTAACGTTCCTTTTCACTGCGTAGCTCATCATAGATCTGGGTGTTTGCTAAAAAGCGAAGGAGCTACAGTGAAATGTGCAAGCAGATGTTGAATGCAAAGCGCAAAGCAAGTATGCAACTGCAGCAGTGGAAGCATTCTGTTCAACATATTCTATTCACATTCATGTCCAGGCAAATACTGGAATAGCCTACAAACCTGAAAGCTCCCTGACGGTATCGTAGTTTTCTGAGCAGATTGAGCAGAGCCAGAGCGCGGCATTTATTTGAATATAGAGTTATCTGCCGCTTGGCAAATGGCTTATTGAATATCTCCCAATAAGTCATCAGTGCAACGAATTCCCTGCCATTCTCTCAGTTCAACACATTCACGACCAAGCCATTTTTTCTTACACTCGCTTCATTTCATATGATCATGTGTGTCATTGCACACACAGTTCACCTTTGGCGTCCCCATCCTGGATTCGTGGGAGAAACAAGCGTTCAGGTAAGTGTTTCCAAGATGTTCTTAGCATTTTCTTTCATTTTTAGTTATTAGTCACCTCAAATTGATGTAATCGATAACAATCGGTAAGTCTCTTGCGTTTTTGCGATTGCAAATCCAGGATGAGGACGCCAAAGTGGACTGTGTGTGCAGTGGCACACATGATCATATGAAATGAAGCGACTGTAACTGTCACGCCGAAGCAGTGCATATTTCGTAATTTGATAATGCGAGATATGCTCTAGCCACTGGTGGGTCCTATGGTCTATAATGTTAATTTTCCAATAAATGTAAACCGAAGTTTGCTCAGTTTGTTCAAAAAGTTTCTTACAAGGGAGGGTCATGAAGTCGAAGTGGCCAGTCACCATGACCTGCATACTCTTAGGCCCGTATGCACGTACATCCCCGCGGGGAGGGGATGTGCGCTTAACCATTGAAATGATCCCCGCTGGGGATCCCCTCCCCTCCCCGCGCGAACCCCCGTATGCACAAAGACAATATCGGACAAGGGATCCCCTGTGGGGAGGGGAAGTGAACCCTCTTATGCACAAGAGGGGATCAAGCGGGGAAATCACCTTGCTTTCAAATTTTCTATGAAAAACTCTTTCTTATTTCATATTTTGACTGCAACTCATCTTCATCTCCTCACTTTCATTAATTTAGGGTTGCGGAATGCGCGTATGCAGTGACTGCGCTCGGGGCACTAAAAATGATTTTTTCTACTCCCATTATGTTCCTGCTTTCTTGGATGCTGCCCACTTTCGCTCATGCTGCTCCATTTCAGCGTAAAAATGTTGAACTGTAGAAGTTGATGTGTCTCTGCAAGGGAATGGGTAGAAGACGTTAGGCTGCCGAAAAGGGGGGGGGGGGGTGCCGCGCGGACGCTCAAAGCAGTATTCTAACACATAACAGAAGCTGCAAATTGTGCCAGCTCTCCATAAACGCTGTAGCTATCACCTGCATATCGTCCTTTATCCCAGGGGAATGATCCCCAGCGGCCATCCCTGCTATGCACAAGGGGAACGCTGGGGAGGGGATCAGTCCCCAGGGGATCTCTACTCAAAAATAGGCAAATACGCTACTCTCTAGATTTTTTCGAGGCAGCTTATGTTAAAATAACAAGATAATGGCAACATGTCATGAAATATGAAAGTTACAATGTGTTTACTCAGCCTATATAGTTAAAACTATTATGTTATATGAAAAATGCGCAAATTTCCTGAATGGTCAAGAACTCCTACAAATAATCGAAATTGGCAGCTATTGTTGCTCGGATTTCTTCTCAAGAGGCGAATATAGAAAAGAAAGACAAATTGCAAGCCACAGGTCGCTGAGAGAAGAACTCGGCTTTCAAAGAAAATCCTCCATCAAAATGAACGAAATGCTTGGTAATGACTGAGCAGAACCAGAATATCCGCGTCTCTGGCATGATCTACACCATCGAACCCCTACTTCGTTGCAGGGGATGTCGATCCCCTCCCCCGCGTTACAGAGTTGAATTCGCGCATACGGGGTTCGAGTGGGGGAAGGGAGGGGATCCCTTCACCCATTCGAACCCCGTATGCACTGGGGTTCGCTCGATCAATACCTCTGAAACCATTCACACCATCCCCGCTTAGGTGCAGGGGAGGGGATCGCTCCCCTCCCCTCTGTCATGGCGGGTTTCGGCGGAGGGGATCGTTCCCCTGGGGATCCAGCTCCCCTCCCCTCCCCAGCGGGGACGTACGTGCATACGGGCCTTAGAGAGAGTTTGAAGCGATGATACATTCTGCTATTCCTATTTGCAGAACGCTTCAGGAATGGAGGTTATGAGCATTTTTTGAGGCGGAAAAATGACCATTTCCGGCATAAAATCAATCATTACGGCCTTTCTAGACGTCACGTGGAGCAATCGTACTGGTATACTAGGCAGAATGAGTTCATTGTATAAAGTATCCGACTCTTGCCGCGGCTTCTTTGAAGGGCTGAAGAAGCTGCGGCGATGATTTTAGCCCGAAAATGTGTTCATTTTTTCACCTCATAAATGCTCATATCTCCTTTCTCAGAAGCGCTCCGCAAATAGGAAAAGTAGAATAGGTTTCAGCGCTTCAATATCTCTAATGGTATGCAATTTTTGTGATGGTTACTTCGACTTCGTGACCCCCCCCCCCTTGTTAGTGAACAGCAGAATTAAAAACTTTAGCATATGATTCACCTGCGGGTCCTTTGATCCGAAATGACAGGACATGTACGACCCACCTGTGGGTCGCCTGGTCGTGAGTGTTAACCTTTATAGTTATGCATTACAGCGCAGATTCCGTGCTTGGGGGGGGGGGGGGGGGAAGGGGCTATATGTCGCCCATAGGCTCCATCCATTGCGGACTGCTGGTACAAATCTGTAGTACCTGCAATGGCGCATGGGTCTGTTGCAGATCTCCGCGTACCACTTTCTTTCGGCGACATATAGGGGTGGCGAGCAAGAGGAACGATAGCTGGTGGGTGTCAATAACTCGCGCATACTTCGCCGTCATTTTTGTCCATCTGCACGCAGAAATTTAGAACATTTCCTTCTTTTATACTTTCATCTAGACAGGAGAATCGTATAGATTGTGTTTGCTTGAAAATGGGATGTGAAAATCAGCTGAAAATGTCAAAAAAAAGGTCTCAAAGGTGAAACTTCAGTATTTTAAGCTTATTCCTGCAAGAACATCACCAAATTGCACATACCAACGGAATTTAAGCAAGACTTATCAAGTAAGTTGAGTAGAGCATTAAATTTATGTCTACTGTTTTTGTAAGTTCGCTATTTGCGAACTGTGAAGGCAAATAGTGCATTGGCACCAGCGGCTGGCAATTGCTATCGTTCCTTTTGCACCACACCCGACATATAGTCTTTCAGCCCGTGACTTTTTCTCTGTCGTGGCTCTATTGTAAGTCAAAACCAACTCACTAACAGTATTTTGGGACTGAAGCACAATAGCAGAGGAGGCATTATAGGGCATTTGAAAAATCGTGACCATCCGCACGCAACGCGCACGCACTTCCGGCAACCGCGTTTTCTTGGTTTCCCTACACAATGGTTATTCTGCTTAGTGACCGAGCTGAGCGTTGAAGTGAAGCCTTTTTGTATGTATATGCTCCTGTGGGGGCAAAGACCGCGGCCAAATCCGTCATCACAATTTTATGAATGACCTACAGCAAAGAGAACCTTTTCCAGAATGCAAAACCAAGGAAGGCGTTCGTAACAGATAGCTTACTTGTATGGGAAGAAGTCGCCTGATAGTGTCGCAGGCTTTTTTCCATTTTCTTTGTACCACTTTTCCAACTCCTTGAAGTAGTCCGAAAACGTGCCGAAACTGCAAATACAAGATGCTCGACTTTGATCTTGCAGAATTTAGACGGTATTTCTCGATTACCGCCAAGCGCAACTAACCGAATTTCTGCAATATTGCCTTTGTTGATTTCTTCAAAAAGTGGTAGAAAGTTATCGTGTTGTTGGTGCCATTCCTGGATCATATTATAGCGGAAATCGTCTCCGTGCACCATCAGCAAGACGTTCGACTCATACAACTGCGCCATTTCTCGAAGCTGCGACAAAAGCTTTTGAGCCCTGAATTGCTATACTAATCTACTCATCCGGCTATCTGCCACAAAACTCACTGTATCGCTACATTGGACGCATCAATAGCCTTTGGTTTGGGTCCCGGACACGACCAATGCGTCAGCCGTTTGAAGTCAAATTCACAGCATATTGATGGATTTGGACCGCAAGAGTTCAGAATATCATAGTGTGAATACGGCAAAACATGTGTCAGCATATCTGATTCGCCTCTCATATCTATAAATGCTATTGGTGTTCGCGAAAATTAAACCACCGATTACTCTTCCGCCATCTGCTGATAGTAGGGAACGTTATGTCGCACTACCTCCTGTGCGGACGACTGCTACGAACTACAGTTTGAGATGAATGGTTTGTGGCAGATGTCCGCGCAAGTGGTGCTCATCGACACAAAGTTTCCTACATTGGTGCAAGGTATGAAGGTCTTACCAAAGTACTGACGCCACCTAAATGGTATAGCTCTCTGACTTTGCAAGTACCGTTTGATACCATGGTGTATTCTGTTGATCACGGCACGCTTCAAACCTCAATTACATACTAGATACCTTCAAAAGGCAATGCCATTGTTACAAATGTAATGATTAGCTGTCAAGGACAGGCTACCATGTCTGCGTACCTGCCTGCGTGAAAATATACGGTATGGAATTGCTGTAACCGAACGGATCGTTTGACCAAACCACCGAAGGTGTGACACCGCCTAAATGTTGTAGCCTTGTGACACATACTCAAGCTTTGTTTTATATCAGAGTTGCAAATCTTGGCAACATTTTTGGTACTTCCCGTAATCTGGATCCATTTTCTCAATGAGTTTTCATGAAATAGTGTTTCAATAGAGAAGAAAATGTTCATAAATTCTAAGAGGGCTGTACGTACAGTCGAGTAGATTTAGCGGTAAATATAGTGTGCTTGCACAGAAGGTGAAATGCGGGAAATTTGCGCGTGAAAAAGTAGCCACGCCAGTGTTGCGGGCATCGTGCGCGCGCAATTGGCCGGCGTCACTGTCGAAGCTATTTCTTCACGCGCAAATTTTACCGCATTTCACCTTCTGTGCAAGCACACTATATTTACCGCTGAAACTACTCGACTGTATATCTGCCACGTGTGAGGAAAAATAAGCACCTTTTTGGTTCAGTTTGCATCTTTTCAAAATCATTCGTTGAGATGGAAAAATATTCAAGATGACTCAGAAGTTGTTAAACAGCTCAAACGTTTTTTAGAGCATTCTGCACGCTTTCAGCGATCAATGAAGATCCCGTTCAAACCCCTTCTACCATGCGATTTCAGCCAGGAGAGAATTTGAATGATAACCTGAGGTGAGGTATACCTCGCTGTGGCTTGTTTCGCCGCTTGAATGATAAAACCTCCCTTATTTCTCTGTTCTAGACAAATATACGTTCACTGGAAACAGGATGGCAATCAGTAATGTTGATGTTTATTTTGAGATTGTTGAATCAAAAATGGTGTACAGTCCAGTAGATTTTCCGATTAATATAGTGTGCTTGCACAGTTTATGAAATGCGGTAAAATTTGCGCGTGAACAGGTAGCTGCGCCAGCACTGCCGGCATTTTGCGCGCGCAATTGGCCGGCGTCACAGTCGAAGCTATCTCCTCACGCGCAAATTTTACCGCATTTCACCTTCTGTGCAAGCACACTATATTAAGCAAAAAATCTACTCGACTGTATGTATTGATTAAAAAACAGGATAAATTCACTTTGGCAGGCAAGTGGCACCAAAGTTTCGTTAAGGCCTGCTTAAAGGCAGTGTCCGGGCAAAAAGTCGATTTTGAGATTTTGTGCTTACCCGGGCCTATTCGCTACGCTGAATCCGAAAATGCACATGGAGAGGGCGAAAACGGCAAAAAAGGGCTCTAACGCAGGAGGGAAATCGGAAGTGGGCGGAGTCCTCACCACTGTGAATTTCGCAGTCCCAGCTTCTGGAGCGATCTTCCCAATTCCTCTGGCGCTCTGAGATCTCCACCGGCCAGGTGCGAATGCATGACTTGAAATCGGAACCGAGAAGACTGCTCTGGAAGCTGGGAGCGTGAGTTCACAGTGGGGAGCACCCCGCCCACCTGCTGATTTCCCTCCCGCGTTAGAGCCGTTTTTTGCTGTTTTCGCGCTCTCCAATGTGCATTTTCGGATTCAGCGTAGCGAATAGGCCCGGGTAAGCAGAAAATCTCAAAATCGACTTTTTGCCCGGACACTGCCTTTAACATGCGACTACATATAAGGGCATTCGAAAAATCGTGACGATGGCGCAACCGCGCGCGACACGCCCGCACCTCCCGGCAGCAGCATGTTCTTGGTTTCTAATTCTTTTTGCATTTAATACAAGCACTACTGCTTCTTTGCATACATTAAGGATTCCACTTCGTACAAACTCCAAACTATGTAATTAAGAGCAAGCCAAAATCTCATTTGTCCCATATTTTGCTTTCAACATCTCAGACTAGAGAAGACATTACGATGGTTAAGCTGTAGGACATTGTTCTTGCCACCTTCCCTCGCAATCCACATACAGCACAAACACAGCATGTTACCGTAACCGAATAATCTTGCAGTATTTTCCATTTGCATAGGTGAGGAAAAGCGATTACAACTTTTCCTAGGAGAAACATTTTGAATAAAATTACTGCTGTATAGAGAAGAAAGTTAAGCAGTAACAGTGTTTCGAAAAACACAGGTATTTCAGAACCCCAAAAAAGGTGTGGCAGCCACAGCTTTTTAGGGGTTGTGCCACACCCCATTAGCTTGTCTTCAAACAAAACTTCATCGAACAAAATATATACAGTGCTATACAAAATCTCCCAGTCTTTATAAAAGTGATCAGAGGTGAGGTCGTCTTTTTTTCGTTTGAGCAGTAGTTGCTGGAAGCACAATATACTTTGGACCGAATCGAATGATTATTCGATTATTTGAATAAATCATTCGAATGCGAATGATTCGAAAATTCGAATGTTCGAAAATCTGAGATTTCGAATAATATTCGACAGTCGAATATTCGAAAATTTTCATTTTCGAATATTATTCGAAAGTCGAATATTCGAAATTCTCAACTTTCGAATATTATTCGATAGTCGACTATTCGATGGTCATTAATTCGATCATTCGATGTCCATGGAATATTCAAATATTCGATGAGCACCGAATATTCGAAAATTCGATAAGAATTGACTATTCGAAAATTCGAAGCATCGAATATTCGGAAATTCGATATCCACAACATATACGGGGTGTCCCAAGGGTAAGTACAAACTGTTCGATCGCTAATACCTCTCACGAAGTCTTTTGCCAACCTTTAAGTAACATCCTAAAGGGATGGCTTCAGCTTACAAATACAGCAGAAAGCAAATCACCTATGTTTTTCTTGTTGTGTTATCACGGTATGAACTTAGCATATAGAGCAAGTGCGAAATGACACATCCAAAAGAGTTTCCCCAACAAAAAAGAGACTTCAAATCTATGTAGCAGGATTTTACGTATGTTTAACTACGCGCGGCCTTTCAAGTCTTTTAAATGTGCATTCTCTTTTTTGAAAAGCGTTGGAAAACATCTGTTATGGTGTACCTGGCTCTCAATGAGGATAAATAATCTTTTTGACTTTTGAAATTCTTTTACATCACGTACGCTTTTAGGTTCTTAAAGGCAGCGTCCCAAAAGATGGGTCCGGGAATTTGTGGCGATGTTAAATTGGACCCCCTACCTAAGCGGTGACGAAGTTCGGAGCGAAAAAGAGGGTCTGGTAAGCTTGAAAATTGCTCTCAAAGTGGCCCGTCTTACGGCAGGCTCGAATGCCGCCCGTACAGCGAATTCGAACTGCAAGGCCAGGAACGCATAACGCACACAGTCATGACTACAGGGTCCCGCAACGACTCTGCGTCTCTACCCTGCATGCATCTCGTACTCACGAGCCTACCGTAAGATGGCCACTTACGGGGCATTTAGGCCTGGTAGGGCCTTTTTCGCTCCGAACATCAGTCATCGCTTAGGTGGGGGGACTACTTTGACATCGCCACAATCGGCACCCATCTTCTTGCCGGGGCTGCAACTGAACCGTTTTCTTCGTTGTAAATTGAAACATGAAAAAAATGTCTATACCTGAAAAATTTATTCTGAGATGTTTTGGTCTTTCACAGGTAGTCTCACTGGCATAATTTATTCGCATAGTATTCGAAAATCGAATATTATTCGAGAACCGAATAATATTCGAAATCCGAATATCGAATGGTATTCGATATTCGAATATTATTCGATTCGAAAACTTCCATTTTCGAATAATATTCGATAGTCGAATATTCGAAAACTTCGATTTTCGAATAAAATTCGATAGTCGAATATTCGAAGTTTTCAATTTTCGAATAATATTCGATAGTCGAACATTCGAGAATTTCGATTTTCGAATATTATTCGATATTCGAATATTCGAAAAAAATTTCGAATTTCCCAAAGTATAAAGCACAACCACCGTATTCTAAAAATGGGACAAATGAGATTTTCGCTGGATCCAAGCACGTGTTTAGAGTATGAGCAAATAGGGAGCAGTGCTTTGTACTGAGTACAAAAGGAGGTAGCTAATCCACCTTTGAAATATAGCTAACCATTTTTGAAAATCACCACTTTACTTGGGTGGCCCAATAATGGGAACCCTCGGAATTCGCTAAAACTTGGCCCGCATAGGTTAATTCACTTGAATTACAATTATGTCACTAATTAGGTAGAGCCTTTATGTCATGCCTGCGGTATGCAAACGGTAAAGCTGGGGGGGGGGGGGAGGTCGTACTTGGCGGTTGTGTGCCACACCTCTTGCTCGATCCTGAATGGGAAGATTCGAATAACGGAAAAGCACCCTTTTTGCTTATTTTTTTAAGAAGACTACTCTCCCACACAAAACGCACGCAGTCATTCAATCGATGGAACCAGTGTGCAGAATAAAGAGTTTGTAACAAAGTCAAATCAGGGGCAGCAACAAAAACAGAGGCGAATATGGAAGCCGAGAGGCGCTATTCCACATAAGTTGACCCAAAAAATGAAGATCGTGAATTTCGCTAAAACTTCCTCTAGGCAGGTCATTTGGTACGCTGGACACGAATATGATGTTTATTTCGTGCGACAGCGCCATCCGGTGGAGTTACGGTAGGATTACGGTAGGGGGTCAAAATCACGGATTTGCACGAAACTTGGCCTAGAGGGGTTATTCGGCCCGCTGACGCCGAATATCACATTGGTTTCGTACTGTAGTGTCATTTTCTCGAGTTACAGTGGGTATACGGTAGGGGGTCAAAATCTCGAAATTCGCTGTAACTTTGCACAGAGGGGTTATTCGACATGCTGATTAGAAACATCACACTTTCTCCGCACAAAACGTCTCCCTGCATGATTACAGTAGGTTTACGGTAGGGGTCAAAATCAGAAATCGGCAAATGTATCTTTCCCCCGTGCTTTGCTTAGGCAAAAGCCGCAGCAGAGTGTGTAGCGCGCGGCGGTGGTTATGTGTGCAAAGCTTCACGATCATCCGAATCGCCATACACCCGTTTCGGGATGAATTATGTTTTACACCCGTTACCGTGTATCTACCGTAACCCGAGAAAATGACGCTACGATTCAAAACCAATGTGATATTTGGCATCAGCGGGCCGAATAACCCCTCTGGGCCAAATTTCGGGCAAATCCGTGATTTTGACCCCCTACCGTAACTCCACCGGATGGCGCTGTCGCACCAAGTAAACATCATATTCATGTTCAGCGTACCAAATAACCCCCCTAGACGAAGTTTTAGTGAGATTCACGATTTTCATTTTTTGGATCAACTTATGTGGAATAGTACCAGCCGGAGAAACTTCGAAAAATGTCGCGGTTGATTTTCTCAAGTAGCTCCGATATTAATGCAATACTCTTCTGGACAATTAATATATTACATGAATGACTTGTTTTCTTACTTCTGCGAATGGTACAGAGGTGGTAGTGGTACAGTAGTGCAGTACTGTGCTGTTCATTTCTCCTCTGTTCTCCTCGTTAATTGAGCAAATTACTTCGACGCTGCAGTTCTTAAAATTCCTACGTGGTAAAGCCGAGTTCGGCTGCTCGCCGCGGGACCAGAAGAAACTGGGGCCAAAAGTACCTATCACACCGAAAGGCCTGTCTGTAGAACATATAATTTTCCTTTTCATAGCGAATTTGTGGGGATCAAATCGTTTGTGTAAAGAAATGAACGCACAAGTTGTTTTCCAAAATAGCTCAAACTCTATTACAAATTTTGGTACGATTTTCACATTCTGAAGACTTTGATTTGAGTCTTTATATATGTGCAAACTGATCCTAATTTGGTGCGAATCCAGAACAATATTAGATTAATCAAAAAGGCGATTTCACGCGGAGATGAGGAAGCCAAAATCCCAAGCACGTTGATGTTTTCGAAGAAATATAGCGCTCACAGTAGTCACGATCAGAGCTCAGCACGAGGTGGCTTTTTCAGTTTTTCGAAAAAAAAGTCCCTGCTGGCTCGCAGCAAACATAGGACATCCCCCATGATTCATTACTGAAACAAACAGAGATAACAAAGAAGATTAAAGAGAAAACAGAAGAACACGAAACAGACGGTAAAAACAAGTAATGATGTTCGTGTTCCCCGAATTGGCGGCACACTTTGCCCGGCGAGGGGTGTATGTCGAAACGCGCGCGCTTCGGCAGTCGTCATAAAAGCGATTTGAACTCTACAAAAGCGAGGTTTCCAAACTCCTAAAGTTTTGTCATCATATGAGAAATAGTAACAGAGGATTACCAGTTGAATCCCGAAGTACTTAACCAATTTCGAAATTTTTCTTGGTTTTTCTGATTGGCAATCGATCAATACGCGCCATTCGACCGTCTCCCCCCTCAGATGATCGCCGGGGGCAGGCGGCCATGCGATTTATGGGCGGGCGGGCACCGGAAAAGTAGCTGATTTCTTGCGGTCCACTTGCAGATATTTGGAAGAATTTTAGCGAAATTCTAGACGAATGCTTGGAGAACAATCGCGGTCTCCTTATAGATTAGCTGCAGCGCAGTGGCCGCATTCCCGCGGACTTTCCGCGAGAATATGCAGGGATATTGGGGCCGCACGGTCCTTTGTGAAGGACCGCACAGCCCGTAGGTACCTTCCGCTGAAAGAAGGTACCTCAAACTTGAGTAATTGAACCATCGATGGCACCTCTGCCACATAGAGTCTCATCTTTATTCGTGGTATACCGAAACTGCGTAAAAAGACCGAGCGCTTGCTGAAAGTTTGGCCAGCGCTCGCTGAAAGAAAATATTTGCCGAGCGCTTGCAGAAATGCTGTGCTGTATTGCTGCACGCTGGCAGAATATGCGACCGTAAAGGAAGTGCCGCCCAGTGAAGGTTTGGCCACGCCCCAAAATTTTGCTGACCGCTTGCAGAAAAGCGCGAGATTGCGGACCGCCTGCCCCCAGCGATTATCTGGGATCGTGCGCCTGGAGTAGGACCACCGCTGCTATGCAGGGGGCTGTAACTAGGCGGGGAGAAGGGATTTGGGGAGCTTCAAAAAATAGTTTGTACGGTTTTGGATGTGGCTTGAAGTTATGTAAAAAGTTTGAAAAATAATGTGTAAGGAGAAACTTATGACTTTTCTTCTCTGAGCTACCTCGGGTGGCTCTCCAGGGGGCTCTTAAAAGCCACCTAACATAGAAGAAGGTTTGCCACGCTTTTAGTTCACATAACTTCTTCATAATTTTTTTTACATAGTCACATATCCCTACTGCGCATCCACACCAATCTTGATGTTATATCTTTTTCTATTTGCTATAAACAAGCCTTTTGTTTATTTTTGAGCCCTTTCAAAATCTCGCGCTTGCACGGTGCGCGGAAGATTGCTGGGATGGGAGCGGTAGGGCGCTGAGGAGCACTTGCGACGTCTCCAGGAGATGGGAGTGTGGATTAAGGGAGGGGCAGGGTGTTTGTGAGGGGTAGGGGGAGCCATGATAGCCGAAAGATGGGACAAGTTTCGTTTGTGAGAGTAGGGCTGCAAAAATCTGTTGGACTGATGGGCGTTGAGTTGCCTACACTAGAAGTTTCTTCACTCGGTTCATTTTACATCAAAATCCAGAAAAAAATCATTATTTTGTGTGATCAGGTTCTTTAAAAATTTCTCCACTATTAAGACCCCCGGTTTCGCATAAAGTGTTTGGCTTTTTTTTATAAGCGCCTCACTAAGCTAATAATGCTTTTTTCCTGTGCCCCGCCCGGACTACGTAAAAACGATATCCCCTTTGCTTTAATCCCTGGAACGATATCCAGCCTGCTTCGTAAGCCACCTGTGTCGTGCCCTGGTCACGATCAAAGACCCCAAAAAGGGAAGAACAGTTCAATTAGAACAAACAGAGGTAGAGGTTCCAAGTCGACTATCAACAGATCTTTATAAAGTTATCAATTTTGTATCTTCTATAAGTTATGCTCATGTTGTGAGCAACATTGTGACAGAAACTAAAAGTGATCTTTCTCAAGTCGCTGTAGAAAGTGGAAAAGTGAAGATACTTCTGACAGATAGGAAGTTCTAGAATAAAGGAGACAATGAAAGCTAGAATATGTAAATTGAAAATTTCGAGTAGGATATATCATCATGTAGAATTAGCATAGGTAAAAATCAATATGCAGAAGATGTCAATCTAGGCTTCTTGAAATTTTACCACAACAATCGTGGCACTACGCATTTGTTGAGTTGGGGTTACTGCCCTTGCGAAGACGACAACAGCTGCGCGAGAACAAATCTATTGTGAATGCCGACCACTCGCTTGTGACTTGCGCTTGCAAAATGGTGCGCATAATACCGTATTCAAGCGTAATGTCGGCAACGCAAAAGCATAGTGCTGCCATTCCGCTACGGTCTATGTATCTAATGAGGAGCTAACACTCCCGATCGGTTATGCGGTCTCTTTGTGAAATTCTTGTGAAAGGTTCTGTATCCAGACTTACCCAGTTCCTCTTTCAGAAACTGATGTCCCTCCACGATATTGTCAACGGTGATGGGGTAATACACGTTGGCCTCATCGGTCATCACCCATGAGCCAGACGCAATCTCTAATCGTCCAGACTGCACTAATCTGCATAGCTGCATCAGACCGGTTTCACTCATGGAGCGAGCTCACCTGCGAACATTTTCGCGTACTTCGAGGCTCTGCTTCCTCCACCATCTCTCAAAAAACGCTAGCTCTGCCCACATAAATGTCATGTTCGGATGAGAGGTCATAAAATTATGCATGTTGTCTAGAGTGGCATCCGTGTCCTTCGAGTAGGAATCAAACGTTTGTAGCCATCCTAGATTTAGGGTATTTGAAAGAATTCTGAGCTTTGTTGTGATGAATACCTGGATCGACGTGGGTGAAAGGTAGCACAAACACCTTCAGTTTGTCGACGGACGGATGCCGTTTGCTTTGATCACTTTTGAAGGGTATGGCCCCTTGCTGAGCCACTTGTTCACGATAGACGTTAAACATCTAGACTTTTCTATACAAGCATGATCTGGGCAGAAATTCGGGCTTACATCAAACTCGGCTGCTCCATTGTTGTGAGGGCTAGGCTTACATGCTTCCACGCCTACCGTGGCAACCATCTCCTCCCTAACAAATATGTCCATGGTGTCGATACTTTCGTTACTTTCATTGTCATATCTTCTGAGGCTGCTGGCTCCACTCTGCAATTCGAGAACAGAGTGCGAAATGTGCAAAATGTATGACAAACCTTGTATCCTATGGCATAAACGGTTAAAATGGTAATTCCAACGATTATGATCAAAGCAGTCCGTCCTTTTCGTCTGCCATAACGAAGGTACATCTGCAGTAGGAAAATTGGGATCATTTGGGTTTAGACAGCAGACTCAACGATGCTTGTACAAGCTTCATGGAATCTACTAGTAAATCATCTTTCCCAACATAACGTGCAGCTTACAAAAAAATGGGAGTTGAGTTTGTGGGATATTTTTTACATACCTCCAAAAACTCCAAATGTCATAAAAGTACATCAATACTCAACTTGACTGACAATCTTAGTACTTGAGTAGCGAAATAAGAATTGCATGAAAACATCATACAAAACATCACTGCATGCGAAAAACAACAGCATCACATACACTGCATGTATGGAAGTCCAAATGATGTGGCTGATGTGGCCATGATTGTGAAACTCTTTTTCTGATATGGTTTGAATCAAATATGTGCATTTAATGAATGATGCTATGTAGAATCTCAATAAAATTGCGTTTTCTAAGCATCTCTATCGCTTTGTTTTCGCTCTCGTCTATCGTGGGTAGGATGATATGTTACACTTTTTGCGCAGGTACCTTTAATAGTGTCGAAACTTCTTTGAGATCTCTAATAGTACGTAAGCTTGAGTCCATGAGATGAAACTTGCTGTTTATTTACTGTGTACGGACGCAGAGGAATGCTATCAGTGGTGAGAATGGCGAATTGTTTACCTTTTGCCACTTGCCTTACTTCTCTCATCTTTTGAAGTTACTTGTGTGGGCTAACTGCAAATCACAAATGATTGATAACAAATAAAGTCAACAAAAACTCGAAACACGTGGACACTCACGCTTATATTTGAGGAGTTCGTGGAATGTACCTCGATGTGTACCATTCGACAAACTTGAAGTCATCGCGATGCACTCGCAGAGACTTGAACTATCGGAGCATCTAGAGTTCCAACAATGTTAGGTCCATGCACAAGTCTTGCACCAAAATTTTCGGGAAGTTGTGATAAATTCCATTTTCAAAAAAATTTATTTCAATATGTTCAAAAGGAAAACATGTTCTTTCTAATGGTGCTTTCTTGTTGATCTACGGCGGCGACACAAGCTGATAAACTGACTCAGATCCTCTCTTCAAAAGGTCCTTAACGATGCCAATTAGTACAACCGATTATGTCTTCAGTTTAACCTATGATCTACCTCTTAATGAGCTAAAATCCATAAAAGATGGATGTCTCTACAAACAATTATGATCTTAAAATTTCATTCCACTTTTCAATATTGTTAATTGATTTTCTAGTATTTAATTTAGAATACAACACTTGTTATAGATACCGAAAATTACACTGCAAGTAATCATTTCCCCTAAACATTTTCAAAATGAATTTTCTAAATGTTGGTATATGACTGATGACTTATGTATCAACCTGGCACATCGAGAACCAACACAGTAAGCTAGAGCTGTTGGCAGTCCCACATCCTTAACTTCTTTGGGGAACTGAAGCTTTCGAAGGATGGCTACGTTTCAAAGCTATAGCTGATCTAACTCAAATTATTTATGCGTTTAATGACACGTGAATGGAGAGAGACTGTCACGTTCAGCAAGCCATTCTGCCACGTATCATTCTATTTCAAAAAAAGTGGAGAGGTGATCATGTTGCTATGGACATTGACGCGGCATCGTCATGATTGCATTTTCTCTCGGACAAGATCCCGAAATGGAGAATTATGATGTTTCTTGTTCGACAAATATATTGTTAATGCTTGGCGCATGATTCAGCTTTTCCAGAGACATGACAGGAATTGCCTAAGAGACAATAACCAGTGCCTTTTGTTTTGATTTGATATATCAGACGAAGAAACATAGCTTATGGTTGTAAACCAATGAGTAGAATGAGTACCAACTCAATGAGTAGTATTTGTTAAAGCTTTCGACACTGCAAGGTGCTAAACTCCGCCTTACATTCATCGGTATGCTATGAATCATGTCTGATGGCCAAACATTATGCTCACAATCTATTTCCACTAAACAAGTTTTGTGTTCATTGAGAGCAAAGTGTTTGAAACTATGCGAGGAATGATTCCGAAACTTGCATGGAAGCAGTAAAATTGGCGACGATAGTGCACACGATCTACTCGAACTCGATAAAGGATAAGTGGATGGAAGTTTACGAGAAATCTTAAAATAGATAGTAGACTACTCGTAGATCAATTAAAGTGCAAATTCATGTCTGTGCAATACCACCAATCAATTGCAGGAGGTTGAGGCTTTGTGCCATAACTATGCCAGCGTACTGATAACGTCTATGGAAAGCACACAAACTCTTGTCTCTTTGGACCACTTATATCTTCTTTCAAAATGAAATTTCTAATGAAAATGTGAACAGTATATCTGGCTGTACACGCTCGCAATGCTGGATATGCAATGTGTTTCAAGCAAAATACATATGGTTACTGAGAGTTAGCTAATGAGGACTTGCTTAGCAACCCCGTATCAGACATCATGCTGATTTTTGATCCGAATTCATCGACTGAGTGACCGAAAATCTGAGGAAAATCTCTGAAAATGCCGTAAGCGCTTGGAAAAACCTCTTACGAGGTGATACTTGGTGATCTTGTACTTTGAGATAAGAAATTTACCATGTTACGTGTCTCTAAATTCTGATTTTGAATCTATTGTTATTATCTGCTTAACGCTTTGTTAAAGAAAATTGTGTGCGCTTTTCCGTAAATTCTTCTTGATACTAGGTAATCAAAGTCATCAGTACTGGACGAGTTGTCTGTGTTATGCCACTCAGCATTATCAAAGCAATACTCTAGAGTACTGTGACTGATTTACCTGAATTTATTTGACGAAGAAACAAGAAATTCGCATACCGATAACATAACCCTGACCATTAGCAGCAGTGCAAATTACCCTTGGAAAAAATATCATATACTCTTCAGAAAAAAAACGTTTTGCCGATAAGGAAGACAAATTCTGAATCAGCGTTATGAATGCGTCTATATATGCATTTCTATGAATGGCCATAGTCACCAACTACGTATCCTTTAATTGTCAGCGGTGTAAACGAGACAAGCGAGCAAAGCCTTATGATGTTTTTTCTTCAGAAATGTTCATTCCCTCTTTTCCGATGCATTATTTACAAAACACACATCATTCCCATTATTTGCTCAAGCGACAGAAATGCTCATGTAATGCTTTCTTTAAAGCCTCATATTCAGCTTTGGTCTTCCAGAAAAATTGCGAGTTCTATAGAAAGTTCTTAAGTGATTTCTCATTTTTGCTTGTGGTAATGATAGGCACTGTTGAAAGTGGCAATCTATGAACTTTAACAAGGTAAACATCGGGAGGCAAAAAAATTCTAAAATTTTCAGTTAGAGAGTTTCAGCTCAAGGAAAAATTATTGGAGCAGGTATTTTCATTAAAAAAAAATTAAAACACAAATCATAGATACAAAAGTAGGATCTTCCAAATTTTCCAGCGGATATGACTGAAGGACCACACCCAATCCACTTAGCTGCGAACTCCCATGATCTACCGGTTTTCTCGACAAAGAAGACATGGTATGTGTCACAACTGTAGTTAATTTATGCATGATGTATAATAAATAGCAAATGTTTCTTTTTTACTACTCCTCTATTACTACATTTAACACCCACTCTATGATACACACTACTTCTAGCATGCTGTAATTGCTTGACCAACGGTTTGATGTTTATTCTCGATAAGATGGATGATTCGCACAGGAAACTTAGGAAATGTTTATTATCTCATAAGGAAATATTTATTATTTCATAATCATGATCATAATAATATTTCGTATTAGGAGTTTTTTCGGGGGCGGTACAGGAGCAACCAAATTGCTGCCTGTAATCGCAGGAGATAATTAAGAGCACGAGCAACGTAGAGAAAATTTGGCAGGGATCCAAAACTTGGCAAGGACATCTGTCTGGAAACAATTTAATCTGCTCGGAAGAAATTTTGAAAGATTTATAAGACAGACTTGAGATCAACGTTTGAGTTTTTTCGAAATACTCCTCAGGAATAAACAATGCTTTCGCCATAACTCTATTTTAATATAGAAGAAACATTATAGAGAAACAAAACTTCTGACCGTCACCGTTGAAAATTGAAAAGGTGAGTTCAATACTCTATGAAAGCGCATTTGTAAAAATCTCAATTTTTTGAAACTCAGCTCATGTTTCAAAATGATGATAACAGCGGTAGACTGGAAATCCATCGTGCTCTTACCAAAATTTCATTACTGTTTCATTTGTTGAGTATACCTCAAAAAATTAACGATTAAAGTATCGAGGAAGTTGAAATCAATCTTGGAAAAACTAGTGAAATCGCTGAGCATTGAAACAAGGACAAACTCTAAAAATTCAAAGCGTTTCAATATTGGTTCCTTCATTAAGCTTCCAGAGGCGTTTTCTATGTATTTCATGCGATATAGTTTTCTAATTTGAAGCAAACTCGCGTGTTCTGAGAAAAAAAATTTGAATGGAACTGACTTTTCAAGAATTTGGAACATGGAGCTTCATAGTGAAGAAAGTATCGTGTATTCGTTGACCACACGGACTGCTCTAACGTTGCGGACCATGCGCGGGGCGGCTAAACTGTTGCAAGAGCACGACTTCTACAATGGCGAATTTGTATTGGGGCAAACGTTTTGCCTCGCGGCGAGTGCTCCGCGTGGTCTCCAGTCCATGCGGTCAACGAATCGACTATATCTACTCTTTTATGAAATAAATGATTTCTCTGTATCAAAACATTTGCGCAATTTTTAGTTACAAAAATTGTACTAAGTCTACTAAATGCGCCTCTGAATACTGTCAAATCTTTCAATAATTTCTACAAGCATAGTAATAAAGATTTGTTTCTACATAACCTCGAGTCATTTGTAACTTAATATGTGAGATTTCACACTAAGCCCTATTAGCAACGGCATCCACACTAGTAATTTTCCAGTAAAACATTTTCTAGCCTAACAAAATGTAGAAATGTGATCTACTGACTAACATATAACCAGCAAAAGTAAAAGAAACCAGGAAACAAGGAGAAATCACTGGAAATGAGCAGGTTCTAATTTCGCAGTTCGTCAGTTAACGTGTAAAGTGTGCACTACGCATATTAAGTTACGAATGACTCGACGATAGATATCACTGCCGAGTTTTTGAGTACTTGCCAAATCTTTTCAGCATTGCTCGCTTTCTTAATTACAGTCGAGTAGATTTCCACTACTCAATATAGTGTGCTTGCACAGATGGAATGCGGTAAAACTTGCGCCTAAACAAATAGTTTCGACTGTGACGCCGGCCAATTGCGGACGCAAAATGCCGGCAGTACTGGCGCGGTTACTTTCACGCGCAAATTTTGCCGCATTTCACCTTCTGTGGAAGCACATTGTATTAGCGAAAAACTCACTTGACTGTAGATTCTGCGGATACAGGCGGCAAGGCCTTTGGTTCCTCCTGCACCACCTCCGTTTTTTCTTCTGTCTCTAATGTCAGTCATTCGATAAATGCTTTTTTGAGTAGATTTATTGAAAATATTGAAGAAACTTTGAATGCGGGCTGCAATAAACTATCTATGGAAATCTCACAATACATGCTCATATGATAACTTTGTAAGCTTCTTAGCTTTATTTATTGAGCAACTATAGGTTATAATGCATAAGTAGCAGCGATTCTACAGAAAACTCTAGAAAACACATTTTAATTATATGCTCGAACATCTTTAATATATAAAGAGTCGTAAGCGC